AGCCGTCTTCTAGTTTTCTTGGCAGAAACAAGTAAGTGCCTCCAGAGCTGCATCCATTTGTTGAAACATCTCAATGGCCAGTCTGTCAATTCCTGAAGCCTTGTTTCTCACCAGTTCCCTCAGTGCAGTTTGGATTTCTTCCTTCAATACCATTGATTCTTGATCATATGCTACCTCCTGAAATAGATGAATGTCGATTCTTTTTGGTACAGTAACTCTTGAGTTCCTTCCATTTTCTTTTGATGCTTCTGCATTGTTCAGTATTTTGCCCATAGAATCCTTCAGTATTATAACTGAAGGCTTGAATTTTTTTCAATTCTTTCAGATTGAGAAATGCTGAGTGTGTTCTTCCTTTTGGTTTTTTAACTCTAGTCTTTGCACATTTCATTGTAATATTTTGTCTTCTCAAGCCACCCTTTGAAAATCTTGTTTAGCTCTTTTATTTCACCATTTCTTCCATTCACTTTAGCTACTCTTCATTCAAGAGCAAGTTTCAGTCTCTTCTGACATCCGTTTTGTTCTTTTCTTCCTTTCCTGTCACTTTAATGATCTTTTGCTTTCTTTGTGTATGATGTTTTTGATGTCATCCCACAATCTGGTCTTTGGTCACTGGTTTTCAGTGCATCCAATCTGTTGTTCAGATGGTCTCTAAATTCAGGTGGGATATGATCAAGGTTGTATTTTGGCTCTTGTGGACTTGTTTTATCTTCAGCTTCAACTTGAACTTGCATATGAGCCATTGATGGTCTGTTCTACAATTGGTCTTGTTTTGACTGATGATAATTGAGCTTCTCCATCACCTTTCCACAGATATAGTCAATTTGATTCCTTTGTATTTCCATTTGGTAAGGTCACTGTGTACAGCCACCATTTACCTTGTTGAAAAAAGGTTATTTGCAATGAGTAAGTCATTGGTCTTGCAGAATTCTGCCATGCAATCTCCAGAGTCCTTTCTGTCACTAAGGTCATCATTCCCAACTACTGATGATTATTTGCTTTCTACTTTCACATTCCAATCAACAGCAATAATCAATATATGTAATTGCATGTTTGTTTAACTGTGGAATTCAGTTAATGTATCAGTGTTAGTTCATCAATAGTTAACAAATGTATCACACATACAAGTTGTTAATAGGGATGGTGGGGTATCTACTTTGTGTAGTATTTCTGTAAACCTAAAACTACTCAAAAAATAAAGTCTACTAATTAAAAAAGTGTGCTAAGAAAAAAGCTTGAGGTGCTTCTTTAATAATGGGAGAAGGGACACCTAATCCAGCCCAGTAGGCTTAGGAAAGGTTTTTCAGATGTGACCATGAAAGGACCAGTTCCAGATGTAAAGGAGTTTGACATCCAAGTTAAGTTGAAGGAAACCTTTCCAGGAACTCAGTATGGCATATTAGTAATGTATGTATGTGGTGGACAATACAGTATGCCAGGGAAGGGGGCCTGTTTTTTATCCTCTTGCTATGGGAGGTGTTACGTATGTATTTTTTCTTCTTTTTAATAAAGTAATATATTGGGTATGGGTATAACAAGTAAACGGAAAGTTAAAAAAAATCTTTTTTTTGTCTCTCAGGTAAATCTTAACATTCTTCATTTTGTACCTAATTTAAAAAAAAAAGTGTTTGCTGCTTATTTTGTTAAAAAACAGGAACAAGCTCTTCACGTTATTCTGCACTTTGCTTCTCCTAAAATCCACGTGGGCTTACTAAAACAAGAACTCTTTGCTCAGGAAGAGTGCACTGCTATCACTAGGCCTGAGAATGCTGGGACCATCCAGCACCTAGCTCTCCCTGCCAGGAGATGGCGAGCGGGAGGCAAGCCATGCATGCACGCCAGGGGCTGGGTCCTGGTCCATCCCTACTCCAGGCCTGGGGAAGGCAGAGGTGTGCCAGAAAGCCTTTTACTGGTTTGGGATGGTTGCACTGAGCATTCACTCGCTAGGGCCAGCTGCCACGGGCTGGAGACATCTGGTGACACCGGGGGTTTTTACAGATGTGGTAGTCAAGAGATCTTACCCACAGCACCCAACACTCACTGCTGTCGAGTCAGATCTAACTCATAGCCCCTTCTTGGGTTTCTGAGCAGTATCACTGTGGAAATACATTACCCAGTCTTCCTTTCAAGGAGTGGTTGCTGGGTTTGAACCAACAGTCTTCTGGTTAGCAGTCCAATGCCTTAGGCACTATACCACCAGAGCTCCTGAGTAGAGGCAAAATTAATGGGAGCTGGATGTTGAGTGCCTGGCCATACTCCCTTTGAAATTAAACATTCTGTTAGTCATTCCAATGTTTGACGACTTCTACCTCCTCTTTGAATCTTGCTTGCTGTCAAGTTTCTCCACCTTTAGGTTAGGACCAAGACAAAGAAACCAATTATTTCTCCACATTGTTAAAACATCTAAACTGGCCACAGGCAGTGAGATAGAATATTGAATTATAAGAATGGACTGGATTCCAGCCTTCGCTGTTTTCTATTGGGCTAGAATGAGTTGCTGCCAGCTGTGAAGCAATTCTGATTCATGGCCACCAAATGTCTCAGAACTGAGCTCCACTCAATTTTCAACGTGCTGGGCATTTCTTCCCAGGTATGTCTGGGTCAATGTGAAACTGCCAACATTTGCTTAGTGGCAGAGCTCTTAACTGTGCCACCCAGGGTACAACAGTGATTCTCAAAAGTGTCATGTGGAACACGTATGAAATGCAAATTAAAACCTCACCTCGGATAGAATCAGAAACTGGCAGTGTGGTCCAGCTAGCATGCTCAAATTTAATAGCCACCTGATCACTAGAACCAACTAGAGGACAGTTTCATCTGAAGTGTTTTGTCTCTCACAAGGTTGCCGTGATAATCAAATCACTGAAGGTGCAAGACTTCTGAAACCCTGGAAATGTCACCTTTGTATCACTGCAGCTTGCTAGAATCTTCTCCACTGCGCTATTAAGAGTTTATGATGAATGTTCCCACATTATTTCAAAAAAAAAACAACTGTCATGTTCATCTAACCTCCCCCTGGTCTGAGTTTGTTTACATGCAATAGCTAGGGCTGGTTGTCAGTATCTGACTTTGCACAAGTCCCCTAAAGTGGCAATACCCTGGCCTGGGTATTAAGCTTGTCTGCATATTGGTGGTTTTCCAGCCTTGGTTACACACAGACATTGTCCTGAAAATTTAGGGTGCACAAGCCCAATTACATCAGAATCCCTAGATTGCAGTTCGTAGAGCCTGTAGGTATAAACCAGTGGAAAAAATGCATCAGCACTGTCTACACAAATTGTCACTAAGGTAACTTTGTCCTTTCTTCATTGCCTTTAAATTTGTAAATAAGAGTATCTTGTTTCTGCTTTCCTGAATATCTGCTCCATAGCCACCAACCACATTAGAGTAGCTACCCCTCCCTTGAGTTTCCAAGGCAATACGGAAGTAGATTGCCCAACCTTCTTCCCAAAGAGTGGCTGGTGGATTTGAACGGACAACTTTCTGGTTAGCAGTCAAATGCCTTAGGCACTAAACTAATGGGAGAAGAGCTGTCAATTAGGAATGGACAACAAAGAACATATGGGAGCCAATTTATACACCAAGATTTAGTTTCTTCCTTTTAAGTTGATGTTCTTTGTAAACAAACAAACAAAAAAACTGCTACTGAGTTGGTCCTGCCTCACAGTGACCTCTCCTTGGGTTTCCGGAGGTATCTCTACAGAAGTAGATTGCCCAGTCTTCCTTCAGAGGAATGGCTGGTGAGTTTGAACCGCCAGCCTTCTGGTTAGCAGTTGAATGCCTTGGACACTATGCCACCAGAAGAACTTATAATTTATGACTACTTACAGGTTGAAAATATTTAAGTTTCCCAATTACAGAATAGACAGCAGAAGCTGAGATAGGCAAAAAGTTCTCTTACTCCACTGTTTACCAAGTTTTAAAAAAAACCTTGGCCCCTTACTCTCCCCCCCTCCACTTTCACTCCCTACCCAAATTTAACACTAAACATTTAACTGTACTTTTTGTATTAGTAATTTTAGCTAGTTAAATGAAAAGTTACCTATGGTAATTAGGGAAAAGCCAAGGCTTTGAGCTAGGGGAAAAGGAGAGGGAAAAAAAAAAAAAGCCTATAGTGACACACATTGGAAATGCTTTGTAATCAGTATATTAAGGAGAAATTTACACATTTCAAGAATTACCTAACTTCTGATAACCAGATTTAAGCATGTGAACATTATGATTTTTAAACATACAATTAAGCTATTTGTCATAATTTTCTATATACTACCATCATTACAGTTACTTTGGAACATAAGTTAAATGGTTTAAAATTAAGCCTTTACTGTATCTAAGGAACACTTTTTTATCTCATACATGCAAATTACTTCTCCATGTAAAAGGTCTCTTCACTTCTAAGTTACCCAAACTCCTGAGGTCCCTACTCTGGGGCTTATCATGGTCCAAACAGAAGAGTTTTTAAAAACAAAATATAACCAGGATCAATCAACATATATAAGATGGCATAGCTGAAGGGAATGCAATTGCAATTCTAGAAGTGCAAGACCTTGAGAAGCAGTATGATGATAAACCCCTTCTTTAGAAAGTTATCACTTCCATCACTGATACCACAGGCTAAATTTTATATTATGCCTTCTTCAAGTAATAGTTGAGGCAATAAACTCAAAGGCATCACAATGAATCCCACATAATACAAATAACTATACAAACCAACACTTCTCTACAAATTAAGAGTTTCTGCTGATTACCAGTTAAATACAGAGTTTTAATTTCATAGCTTAACAATTAAGGGTCATACACTGGAGTCAATACATATACCTAGCATTTCAGTCTAAGCTAGTCCAAGTGCACAGCTGAAAACAATTACAAGGTATGGCCTAACAAAACACCGAGGGTGAAGGGGGACTTTTTTTTTTTTTCCTCCTTTTAAACCAAAAGTCGTTTTTACAAGTATTAAACTTCATCTTGCACACTGAAGTCATCATACATACAGGGCAAAGTCAGAGCTTTTATATTTCAGTTTATTCTTCATTTGACTTTAAAACACTACTAATTGTTGAATATTAAAACAAAAACAATAGCAAGTAGCGAGTATACGATTGATTACAGTCCTTCACTTATTCACTACTGCATATAAACTGCCAGTAGTGAGTGTTATTCACTCGCCCCCATTAAGATGTCTGACACTGAACCCCACCTCTGGGGTGATGGTCATCATCCTCATAGGCTTCTCCATTGTAATGGCGTCGCCGCTCCTGGTTTGGATCAAAGTCCACCAGTTCTACCTGATCCATTTCGTCAGTCTCTTCTACTTCCTTTCTCTCAGGCAGGAGTTTCTCCAGCAAAGAGAGTTTATCAGGAGAGAGAAAGCCATTCTCAGGAAAATTAACCTACAGAAGTAAATTTCTACTGTTAAGATTCATTTTGAATGATAACCACAGACAAATTCCTATGAACTCATTTCCCTCCCAGAAAAACACATGTAACCCATGAGACCCTTAATAATCCCAAATCAGGTTAGAACATATTCTGAAAGGCATAGTACCTGGCATTCTGAACTAGTTGTTAAGGCTTATGACACAGGGGATTTTGTTTGTTTGGTTTTTTTGGGAGGGAGAGAGGGGAAGCGGGAAGGGCAGGGATGATCTTTGCAAACTTACACCTAAACCACCATTATCCTATTCAGCAAACACTTTTAAAATACAAGAACCCATCCTAAAATACATTCTAATCCCTTTTTAACAATTAATTTAAATGAAGCTATTACTTATTAAGAAGACAGTCCTATCTTACTAAAACCATTTTTAATGTATTAAACGAACACTATAGTATTTTGCCCCCAAATCTACAATGGATAAGCATTTTAGAACCCTGAAATAAGATCAATGTAAGATCCCCACCACTGACCCAACATTATCTTTAAATAGCCAGTTAATGATGCAAACAAATCCAACCCCACTGTTAGTGAAGAACACTGAAAAAGATGGTACCAGATCAGACAAAATCTTTAGTGTTCCTTGGCATCCAGAAGATATAATCCTGCATCAGATTTTATAAGTTCATCAATCTTAAGTATTCATAGACTACTTTACAGCTTACCTTAAATTCGATGATTAAGCGCCCCTTTTCATATGGTCTACGATAAATTGGCATGCCTTCGTTCAGCACACACTTAATATCTTCATGCTTGACAATCTGACCTAAAAAATATTGAAGCAAGTTCTTCCTTAAGTATGCTAACATTTTTAGTAGGCAGAACAAATAAAGAACATCCTAGCTCACTGATAGCAACACATCTGTTAGTGGAAATAATCTTGTAGCCTTTCATTTATCGGTTCCAGGGTGGACCAAAAAAGGACTAAGACCACATGACTTCAGCCCCAATGAAAGGGTAAAGAACATCAGGAAAGACAAAAGAATATGTAAAGACAGAATATGAGTTTTCTCTCAGTGCCCATACTACTGAGCTATCAGCAGACAATGAAAACACTAGATTACAAAGAGGAGCAAATCTATCATACCTGGATGAGAGGTGATGACTATGGTTCGATTGTCAAGAGTGGATATTGGCTTTTGGAAGCCGCACAATGCTTCAACCAGCTGTATGTCCATACACATGCAAAGGTCTTCTCCTCGTCTATATCAATGTAAATATGGCACTTAGTGTATCTTTCAAATCACCCATGATCAGAAGTCCCATTGCATGCCAATTGTTTTCTTCTGTAACATCAATGGTGGCTTTGTGAAAGACACCCTTCTTTCCTATTTCTAAGAATGAAACAGCTCAGAATAGGGAGTAGCAGATATATGGAACCTGCCAGCCTGATTTTAGAACAAAGCTTCAGAATCTTTCTACACACACACTTTAGGCAGCCTCCACCATTTGCCATCCCTAAATTAACTAAATTGTAAATATAATTTCTCATGGAAAGAAAAAAAAAAAAATTCCCATGAGGCTAAATAAAAGGGCAGCAGACAAACATTACCATTCCAAACACCAAACCAAACTCACTGCCATCGAGTTGATTCTGACTCATAGCAACCTCCTCTGGGTTTCTGAGGCGGAAGTAGAGAACCCTGTTGTGTAACAGTTGGACAGACCTGGACTGAGCCTGGGATTATTTAGGGTCTATTATATTAGTTAATGATTTATGACCAATTTCAAGAGATAGCAATAAGAATTTATTGATGATGTTCACGAGGGAACTAGTATGTTATTGCTATAGGTGCCTTCAGGCAGATTCAGGATGATCTCATAATACAAAGACTATCATTTTATGACTCAACACAATCATTTACATTTGATTAACAGTCCCACTTCCTTTTCTTCTTCCAATTATCCATATTACTAAAATAAAACGTCTTCAGAGAGAATGTCCAGAAAAACTCAAAAGATTCACCTCAAATGATAGCACCACAATCCTGAGCTTAATGGCACTTCTGAAATGTTCTACAGTAACAAATTGAAAATATAGTTCCTTCTAAATGACATCGCCAACACACTACTGTAACTCTACCTCCAATATTTTTAAATTAGCCATGGGTAAGAACACATTTACTGTTATTCATCAATCTTTCTTGTGCTTCAGTGTTAAGAGTTCACTGTAAAATCTGTATTTAAACATTACATACCAACAGACTTGAATTTTTATATATATATCACACATACATATCCACATGTTTAAAAGCTGGTGCCAATCTGAGTTTCTTAGAGAGATTGGTTTTGAATGGTGTGTATTTACAACTAAAAGCAATCCAACTTATCATGAACTCAATTTAAAATTGGTGAAAGCTTTAAGGTACTTCAAATTACAAAAAAATTGAGGGCAAAATTTTGTTTAGGGACATTTTTCCCCAGCCCACGTGCTGCCTGCTATTTATATTTATTTGTAATAAAAGCTCCAAAACATCTCCTGATTTAAAGTGCACCCCTTCAAGTTCCAGATTAGGCAATAATTTCGAGTCCAAAAACTAAAATGTGACCCTATTTTCTATAGCCCCCTTTAAAACAAGTATGATTGAAACTTAATGGTGAACAACCTTTTATAAAATATATTATCCATAGCCTAACTCTCTTGGTTTTTTCCAGGGTACTTCCAGAAAATGAGAAATAAAAAACACTCATTAAAAAAAATACAATCAACCCAAATATGCAAGATACATCGAGTTTTTACCTAGTAAAAACAGCATGGTCCTTCTGATCTAAAACAATGATAATATCTCCTGGCTCCAGTCCTGGCTCTTGGTCTCCTTCACCATGGAATGTTATCTTCTGGCCATCTTTCATGCCTAAAAATAATGTTTAACTTCCAATCAAATTCAGAATCACAGAGTGTATTACAATAAACAGATGCTGATCTGGGTGTGCATGGAAAATAAAATTAAAATGCTAAGTCTTTGTTAATGCCAATATTCACAGAAATGGTTGAAAATGTACAGCTGGTTAGATCAATCCACTTTCCTACTGAAGAAAGCTTATCGTACTAGACAGCACAAACTCTAGAGAGGCCAAAAGATCTGGCTTCAAATCTCAAGATTTGAAGTGTTTTTACCAGCTGGATTACTCCAGGAGGCAACCTGTACAACCTTCCTAAGCCTCAGCTTTTCCCAGAATCCAACCCCATTATGGCTCTTGTGAAGATTAAATAAAATGGTCTATGTGGTGCCAAATCTGTCACTCTCTGGTAATATTGTTGTTGTTGTTGTTATGTGCCGTTGAGTCGGCCCCGACTCATAGCGACCCCTCCTTGGGTTTCCGAGGCAGTATCACTACGGAAGTAGGATTGCCCAACCTTCCTTCTGAGGAGTGGCTGGTGGGTTTGAACCGCCAGCCTTCTGGTTAGCAGTCAAGTGCTTTAGCCACTATGCTACAACTCATAAATGCTACCTAGAACTACTTCACCACTTACATAATAAAATCCATCACCAAATTATTTCTATTAAAGCAGCATATATCAAGACTTCCTTCTATTACTGCACTAGCAGCAATTAGAAAATTTTCATCAACTAATATTTATTAATGGTAATTCTTCAACCACTGAAAAACTTTAAAATTTATACATCTTGTTTTTATAATCTTTTTGTTGAAGAACCAGTTTAGTTCTCTTTAGAAACAAAAGGATAAATCACTGCCTGACACTCCCTTAGTCCATGTGATCAACACAGAAAGTAGAGAGTGAACTATTTTCCAATAGTGAATTTTTTTTTTTTTTTTAAAAGGCCAACATATTTTAATGAGATTCCTTCCACTCCAGCAACCTGTCCTTCAATAGTCCAGTAATGGCGTGGGCATCACTTTAAACATAACTCAATTACAAAACCCAGTGCCTGCAGATCAGTACATGCCTATTATTTCTTGAACCAATGATTATTAAAGTTGCCTTTGTCTCACTTTTTATTCAACTCACGATTCTTACTTCATCCTTCACCTACATTTCCTCATATATCGAGGCAAAAGTTTATCCAAATACTTCAGACTTTTAACAGGAGAAAATTGTTAAGTTTCATACAGCCATGTAATAAAATACTAGTCAATCATTTACAGTGCTACCAGTGGATGTCAGAAATATAATCCTTATATTAACTGAGGAGATACCAAATGTGTTCCTTTTAGCAATGCAATGCAAATGTGCAAGAAAGTCTGGATGGAAGAATACTATTTGCCAAGTACCTAAGAGCTATATCTCTGGCTTATAGGATCATATGTGAAAATAAGATTAAGAACAATTTTTCAGTGTTATAAAATGTGACACACTAACACTCCATAGCACTCAAGACTTCAGAATGAGAAACAGTTCAAACTCACCTTTGTCAATATGCACTTCTAGAATCTTCTTCTCTCGAACTATCTTCCTTCCATTGCAACTTTTACATCTGTCTTTAGGGCTGATTCGTTCCCCATGGCCCTGACACTCCATGCACACAGACTGAATTTGCTGAACCATTCCAGGTCCTATCTGATGAATTCGTATCTGCATTCCAGTACCCCGACAATTAGGACAGCACTCTACTGCTCCTTTCTTACCACCTCTACCTAAATAGTTACAAAGAAAATGAAATTATGAATTTAGTATTGAATACAGTAATGAGTATTTAATAAGACCATTCAAATCAACCACAGGAGATCAGAAAGGCAGCATTTATACAGGGAGAAAGGTAGGGAGGTGGGAACGCACTGGTGAGGAAGACAAAAGGAAAGAGTAGCCATATGGAGGTGATGGGAGGTAAGGTGTCACACTGTGGGGGAATGTAGTGGTGTCACGAAACAAAGTTAAGTATGAACTGTTGAATTTAAAAAGAATCCACTTTGTAAAACTTAACCCAAATCACAATAAACCAAAAACCAAACTTAACTGCCAACAGTCGGATCCGACTCATAGCAACCCCTCCTCCCTTGGGTTTCCCGGGCAGTATCACTACGGATGTAGATTGCCTAACCTTCCTTCCAAGGAGTGGCTGGTGGGTTTGAACCGCCAGCCTTCTGGTTAGTAGTCAAATGCTTTAGGCACTACCCTACCAAATCACAATACCAAAAACAAAAACAAACTCTAAACACTACTCTGTAAGATTTTCAAGATGGGATGGAATGCTGTCTATCTACAATCCAGTCTTTATTTGATAAAGTACAGCTACCAAAACCCAAACCTACCCCCAGAGTTGAGTCTAACTCATAACAACCCTACAGGACAGAGTAGGACTGCTCCATAGGGTTTCCAAAGCTGTAAATCTTTACAGAAACAGACTGCCTCACCTCTCTCCCAGAGTGGCTGGTGGGTTCTGGATTCAAACTGCTGACCTTTTGGTTAGCAGCCAAAATGCCTTAACACTGCACCACTACAGCTCCTTAAAATATAGCCAAATTACTATGAAACAGCTATAAAACATCTTGACTGCTGGTCTTCCCAAAAAGCCATTTTAGAATCTTAAATCTAAAAGCAATTCTTAGGACTACTTCATCTATGAGATCAGAACATTTCAAAGAGTTTGTATCTCTACAAGGTACCAAGAAGCATTTATTTACAAAAAAGTTTACAGGTTTGCAGTCAATAATTTGTCTCTAAATGAAATGAGTGCCCAAAGACAGATTGTTTTAAATCATATTACAGATTACTAAGAAGCCATTAAAATGTTTTTTTAAGTGTTAGAGATACAGCAAAGTGTTTTCTCTGTAACCTGAGAAAAATACCAAAGTAGATGTATCCCAATGTATTTGCAAAACACACCAAGAGAAAATGCCAATTTTCTCTAGGGGTAGGGTTTTCTTCATACTTTTACACCCTAAAATTTGGGAAGTATTTGCCCAATTTTATGTACCTAGAATTTTCAGTTAACATATTAAATAAAAATGATAGACCATACCTTCACATTTGTCACAAATCACATTCTTTTGCAGAGCTAGTTTTCTTGTTGCACCATTATATAAATCTTCTAATGTTACTGAGAGTTGATGCACAACGTTTTTTCCTAAAACAAAATAATGCTCATTAGTAATCTAAGATACTGCATCTCTTCCGAGTCCAAGGCATTACAAAAATGGTTAAAGAACGAAAGATGAACCCCACAGTGCACATTCACTGAACACCTATTACATACACAGAACACCACATTATCACATACAATCTTCAAACTGTTATACAACGTGATTACAGATGAGGAAATCTGGGTCAGAAATTACATAATCTGCCCAGGGACTGAGAGGTAGGTGTCTTAGAAGTTATGGCAATCAAAATACTACCTGCAAAAATCACTCATGAAAACCAACACATCATTTAATGGATACATTTCACAAAAAATTACTCCAAACTTGCATTTGTTTCAATATATTCTCTGACCCTTCATTTAATATCATTATTGAGCAACATGGCCAAAATTTTTCAGAATAAAACCCTGCTCATCACTATTAGCTAGGGATGTGGCTGCAGTATTTACTGAGTTGCCACTGAAGAATATAAATTCCTACCTCTTCATGAATCAGTAATAATAAAAAATACTGCTGGGTCAGCACTAGGTGTTTAAAGGTCAGGTGTTCATATTCTTGATAGTATCACTGTCCCTATTCAATAAAACTTACTGCAATAATGGAAATGTTTTGCATCTGTACTGATCTATATAGTAGCTACTGGTCACATGGGGCTACTAAGCACATAAAATGTGGTTACTATGACTGAGGAAGTAAATTTTTATTTGAAATTAATCTATATTTAAAGAGCCTTGTGGTCAGAACCAATAAAAGAATGGCAAGGTGGAGTTCATATAAGGATACTGAGGCTGCAGAAAGTCACCTGCCAATGGTTAGTTAATAAGTTCCTAGCTAGTGATCTTTCCACCAGGACTTTATCCACCACCAAACACTACTGCCTTATGCATAACTGAAAGTTTATAAATTCCTTTCTGCACAACATTTGTAATAAACACTTTTGGTTTCCAATAATGTCACATACTATTAACTATATCCTTCTGCTCAGAGCTCTACTTTTGGGTTCTGTATCATAAACATAGCCTCATCCACTTAGTTCGGGCATGATGAATGTTGCCCTTCTCATTTTACATGGTGTCAGGAATATAAGAAAGACTATGAAGCATGTTATTTTCTGGTCCAATTAGTCTCACACCAGAAAGCAATCTCTCATTGATTTAAATCACAGGAAAGAATTTGTTGGTGGTTAACTATTAGGTCAATCCCTTATTTAAAAAAAAAAAAAAAAAGATAACCAGTATTTTTCTGTGGGACAGGTCATCCCAACAATTTACTAAGCAATTCAACTGGATTACAGTTTTCTTTTTAAGGTAAAGGCTTTAAAAATAAACAAACAAAGCATACTACTTTCTTGAAGACCTTTAAAAAAAAAAAAAGCAAAAACTTAAAAAGCTCGAAGTGAAACTTAATAACTAACTTGCCCATTTGTTTTACAACTGGCCACTACCTGTTAGTCCTTGTTTGCATAAAACATACTGGAAAGAAATGAAATCGACTTCTCTTGACCAAAACACTTCTGCTACACATTAAACAGGTACGTTTGGTAAAATAAAGCTGATTCAAGATTATACAAATAACCTATTTAAGAGCAATGAACCTGTGTTTTAATCCTGGCTTGATGTACAGCTGACTGGCTATATGGTCTTGAGGGAAGTTTATTCCAGATCACCCTTGATTGAAGAGGCTACAGTACTTCCCACCGGGTTGCTATGAATCCAATAATTACCAGTAAAAATGACCGAAAATCATGCAATTACTTTGTTCCCTTAATGTTTGATTAATCCTGAAATATCCAAGAGTCTTGTAAACTCATTTGTTGACACTCAAATGGCTTGGCTTTTGTTTCATTAGCATTTTGTTATGTCAAACCTCATTTTTAAACCACACTATAAACCACAAGCAGCCAACATTATACCAACATATAAACAAGCATCTAAAATTGAGGCTTTAAGATTTGCTTTGACCAACAACTACTTTAATTTTCTGCATGAGGACTGGATTATCTTACCTCTCCTTTCTCTCTGCATCCTTCCACCACCTCCAAAAAACATATCAAAGATGTCCATGGGGGAACCAAAACCACCACCTGCTCCACCCTCTTTGATGGCCTGTTCTCCTCCTTTGTCATATAATTCTCTTTTCTTTGCATCAGAGAGCACTTCATACGCTTGAGAAATCTGTTTAAACTGTTTAAGAAAAAGGGAATAAATTCCATGTTTTAAAACAAAACTGCTTCAAAGCATAGCCATAATAATTGTTGTGTGCCCTCAAGTTGATTCTGCCCCATAGTTTCCCCTAAACTGTTCCCGCTACAGGAGCACACTGCCAGATCTTCTCCCCTTCGAGCACCCTGCTACTGGGATCACCCTGCTGACCTTTAGATTAGCAGACCAGGGCTTAACCATTTTGCCAGCAGGGCACCTTTTACCATTATGTTAGATATGCTCAATTTTAGGTATTAACATCGACACCAGATACTTGAGAAAGAACTATTCACTTATGTTTAAGAGTACACTACTTGCCTTCTCGCCTTCATTTGGATTCTTATCAGGATGGTACTTCAAGGCCAGTTTCCTATAAGCTTTTTTCAACTCTTCCTGGGTGGCATTGGGTTTGACCCCCAAAACGTCATAGTAAGTGGTTTCTTTCACCATTTTCTACAGCCTGAAATAAGAAAATTCTATTTTAACAGACTTTAGAGTTTTAATTAGTAAAATCAGAGTTAAGACAGAAATCTGTCCATCAAATCTGATTAGAATACCATCTCCCTAAACTTAACGTAAACCTAAGAATTCCTGTGAAACTCAGCCACAAACTCTAATAGACTAAATAGAAACTTACATTTACCAAGAAATAATACTTCTTCTAGCAGTTGGTTCCCACTCTCCCACACCGAAACTTCTATACTAACACATTATTTGGATAGCCCGTTTCTTTTCTAGAGATGGTGACAGCCAACTACAACAAAAAAGGAGCACTAGCAGGATCAGTCCTTTGGTTATCACATTACCAGTGTTTTTAGTAATGCCACTTACTCCCCAGAAAAGAGACATTTGAACACAGTTGAGGAGCAAGAGGGAACTGGTTTTCTTAATGATCACGAACACCAGCTCCGGGCAGTCGGCTCCCCTCCCCCCACTACGTAGCAATGTTTCTCAACCACAGGGCTTACAGCTCCTCCGCTTTAACCACCGAATCCCTCTCACCCCACAAGCCTAGGTACTTCACATGTCGCCAGGTTGCCTCCTATATTTGCTGCCGACCGTTAAGGTCTCCTTCCTTTCTCCCGCTCACCAAGGATCGTACCGGTGGAAGACGAAACCCAGCACTCAACAAAGGGAGAGGAGAAAGAAAGCAAAGCTGCAGCCTCCGCCCGGCTCCTCCCGCAGCCCCCCACCGCGCACGCGCATATAGGGCCGCCAGCCCCGAGTGAGCGCGAGGAGGGGCGCGGGGGCGCGCACTGAGGGGCACTAAGGCGGCGGCTCCTTTGGGACCTCAGACTGGCTAGGAAACAGTTCAAGGAAGGTCTCAGGCCCTCTTACTGCGAGCCGGCGACAGACTGCCGGGTAACCATCAGCCCTCTAAGAAAGCAATCGGGGATACGGAAACCGACAACCCTCCCGCCCACGCGGAGCCAACCGTCTCCCGTCCGCGACTCCATCCGTCTTCCCCGCGCCACCAATGGCGCCAGGCGGCGGCAAGGGGAAGCGCGAGGGATGAAACTCACAGTTGAGCGGGCGGAGGTTCGTGTGGGGGAGCGGGAAAGAGTGCGTAGCTGTGCGCAGTTGGGGCAGCTGCCGATCCTCTGCCTCTCACCGAGCGTTCTGGAAAGTTCCCCCCGGCGCGCCGCAGCCGTCGTCTTTTGTAGCCGAGCCGCAGCGCGTCACCCGCCGGAAGTCCCACCCTTCCCGGCCGCTACCACCGCCCCGCGGTTACCTAGGCAACGGCGCAGGGCTCTCCAGGTGGGAGGAGTTGTGCCGAAGGGCCTTGTGGGGGGTGGGCGCAAGCGATGGTTCCCGAAATTCATGGAACCTTCTGGAGCTCCTTTACCTGGCAGGTGCGGAGTGCGAAAGTCTAGAGTCGATGCAAGGATCCTCGGGCCTGCGCTGCAGTGCCGAGGCAACTCGGAATTTCCAAATCCGTGGAGCAGCGCTGCTGCCTGAAGGAGCGGGAAGAGCTTGGAAGCAGGGCCCCTGGCGGATACATTCTGCGAAACGGGAACCTCAACAGAACAAAGCGCTGCAGCTCCTCCTCCCTGCCGGCTCCTCGCTGGCCTTTCGGCGTCTTCAGCGGGATTAGTTCCTGAGCCCTGAGGTTGCGGGAATCCGCCAAGCAGGAAATGCTGACCAAGGCGGGCCTGGGCCCCAGACCAATCTTAGAGACCTTAGACCTTACGCTGTTTCACGCACACTACAGGATTCAATTCACCAAACTGGGAGATCGGAAGAGCTCTTTGTTCAAGTCCAGGTCTTTGCCTTGGGCCATGCTGTCTCCTACACATTCAGCTGAGGGTACTGTGCTAAACGAGAGGATGTTTAGAATGCTTGGTGCAAGATAGGAATCTTGCAACGTTCTCTGGTCAGTCTTTGACCTGGTTTGGCTAGCTGGGGACGCAGTGTCACCGAGTGTGCTTAACTGTAAAATACTGTTCTTATTTATTGTACTTATATTTCAGCTTCTATTACTATGTGTACTTGGATCCACAGTCTACAAAGTGAGCTCTTGTGCTTTCAAGTGTTGGGGCATAATGGAAAATGAGGTCTTCCTTAGTAGCATAACAAACGTGTGGTGAATTTCTAGCACTAAAGAAGCTGAAGGTGCAAAGTTGAAAAAGCCCAGTCCACATCGTTCAGAGGAGCTCTGGTGGCATAATGCCTAAGGCACTTGACTGCTAACCAAAAGGCTGGCGGTTCAAATGCACCATCCACTCCTCGGAAGGAAGGTTGGGCAATCTACTTCCTTGTGATACCGCCTGGGAAACCCAAGGAGGGGTCAGAAGGGCTAGTAAAATATATTCTCAAGAGAGGTCAGCAGGAGTGGTGGTGGTGGTGTGTGCCGTGGAGTCAGACCTGACTCATAGCGACCCCTCTTTGGGTTTCCAAGGCAGTATCACTAGGGAAGTAGATTGCCCAACCTTCCAGTCTTCTGTATTAGAGGCATGGAGCAGGGAAAACTTCCCTGGAAAAGTGACAGTTGAACCTGGGTTTTGAAGAAGAGCTTTCCCGGCAAAGGACAAAGCACAAAGGAAGGTCAGAGCTATGGAAGAATATGATGCCTTTTGGAAAGTGCAAGTAATTGGATACGGGACTCAGGTGGCACTAACCAAAAAATGTTGGTTTGAACACACAAGCTGCTCCATGTGAGAAAGATGAGGCAGTTTGCTTCAGTAGAGATTGATAGTCTTTGAAATCTTACTGGGTAGTTCTACTTTGTCCGGTAGGGTCGCTATAAATCAGAATCAACTCCATAGCACTGGGTTGGGTTTGGTAAGGGGATTGGCTAGCTGGAGGTAAAGCTCCTCCACAAGCTGAGAAACATTCCAGGCTCGGTGTATCTTTTTAAACTTTACCCTGAAAGCATGTCCCTGTCTACCTGTTCAGCCTCATTTCTCACCTTGTTATTTAAACTGTGCACCTCAATCACATCGAGCTATCTGCAGTTTCCCAAATATATTTTCATCTGTATACCTTTTGCTCTCCCAGAACAATCCCTAATTTTCTGATCTTAGATGTTACCTTCTCAAGTTTCAACTGTGGTGTATAGTTTTTTCTTTAAACCAACACATCTAATCTAATATTGCCTGGCAATATGCTGTTGTTGGGTGCTGTGCAGTTAATTCTGACTGAGCGACCCTATGTCACAGAGTAGAACTACCCCATGGAGTTTTGTTGGTTGTAATCTCTTTGGAAATAGGTCTTTCTCCTGTGGAGCCAACGAGTGGGCGTGAATGGTCAGCCTTTCAGTTAGCAGCAGAAAGCTTAACTCAACTTTGTGCTAGGGCCTGTTGTTGTTGTTGTTTGCCATTGAGTCGGCCCGACTCATAGCGACCCCTCCTTGGGTTTCCGAGGCAGTATCACTACAGAAGTAGGATTGCCCAACCTTCCTTCCGAGGAGTGGCTGGTGGGTTTGAACTGCCAGCCTTCTGGTGAGCAGTCAAGTGCCTTCGGCACTATGCTACTAGAGCTCCTGTGCTAGGGCCTAGTAATGTAAAAATCATTACAGACTGGTGGTTCCTGCACTCAAGGAGCTCATCACATAGTACGGGAACTTCTTGTTGTTGTTGTTATGTGCCGTCGAGTCAGCCCAGACTCATAGTGACCCCTCCTTGGGTTTCCGAGGCAGTATCACTACTGAAGTAGGATTGCCCAACCTTCCTTCCGAGGAGTGGCTGGTGGGTTTGAACCGCCAGCCTTCTGGTTAGCAGTCAAGTGCTTTAGCCACTATGCTACCAGAGCTCCTTTACGGGAACTAGAGACATGAAAGAAAGAGTTCAGTGTGCTTAAGTGGTAATAAAGGAAGCATACTGGGGTGCTGAGTAGTGGAGCCATGAAACTTACAGATGGGTATACCAGGCAGAGAGACCAGCAAGTGTGAAGGCATGAAATGGGGATAAAAATTAAATGTAAACAATAAATAATGACTAAATAATAGTGTTCATGGGTTATATATCAATTATAGTCCTAAAGTTACTATTGTACATAAACTTACACATTTGTGAACATAGTATTGATTAAGCATATGAAATGAGCATCAACTTGCTGTATATGAAGTCACTTCATACAAGAGTTTCCACAATAAGTGTTACCATGTTTTTCAATATTACCATATTTAGTGTTTCTGCCTCAGGAACCTAATAGAAATTTCACAATTTTGAGAAAGATGCAAGTGTGATGCAAACATGAAAATAATCTCTTGCGACCACCAAAATAAGACAATGAAATCTGCTATAGAAAATACTTTTAAAATGTGCAAGCTCGTACACTAAGTGAATAATATAATGGGCATAAAAATTAAAAAAAAAAAGTATACTTAACTTGATTGTGCATAGGATAATTCTGTTGGATATACGCGAACCTGTTATATGGTTGCCTGTGGGGAGACCTAGGTGCTGGGGAGGAAAAGTAAGAGGGAAACATTTCCCAGTATGCCTTTGCGGTGTAGTAAATTACTTAGTGTGGCTTTTCTACCCATAAGTCTTTGTAAACTC